AAAATGTTAACATAGCGATATCATGCCATTGGGATGCGTCTCTTGGACGTATCTTTATAAAGGCAGCTTCTTTTAAGTTCATTGAATAAACTCAAATATCAAAGTATAATATTTAATAATATGTTGTATTGCCCTTTTTCTATAAAAAACTAGATGTTTGCCCCGTGGCTTTGCCCACGTAAATTATATTCTATATTACCCCCGCATGATGTAGCTTCCCGTAGCTGTAAGAATTTTCATGATTGGATTAGTATTATCGAAGATTACCCCCTACAAACAAACAAACTTGGAAAAGTTACCTCTTCGTATTATTAGTATAGTATAATGGTAATGTCAAACCTAAATAGCACAGCCAAAATGTTACAAGCTCTGTATTCCGAGTAATATAATTAAGTTGACTGCATGTATGATGTTTACTTAAAACACACAAAATGCTGCCTTACTACGTCGTAGCACAGGCCGAGATTGTTTATTTTGGCGATGCTACGACGTAGTAGTTCATATACAGAGTGTAAGCAACGAATATGCCTAATGAGTACATTTATTTTTGTAATGAATATTCATATACAATTACGAGCAATACGTTTTTTTTATTTATTATGATATACGCTTTATATGTAACTAACGACGACCTCATCCGCGTAAATTATGCTTTTCCTTAAATTTGAATTCGATAATTAAACAAATATTCAAAAAAATTTCATATGTATAATTTACACCTTTTATTACCCGACTGCAGCGAAGCGAAAAGGGAGTTATGATTTTGGAATTATGTAAGAATGTTCATGTTTTCCCTTATAAATTTGAGACTATCTTAACTCATCTTAACTGAACAAATGAGGTATCATTAGCGTTTTAGTTATCCGCGTGTTAAAGGGTGACGTTACATTAAATTGGTAACAGCGCCCTCTAGAGAGCATAAAGTTAAAAACTAAAAAATAGATACATATAGTATATAATTCAATCATTCCGTGTAGGGTATCAAATAAAAGGGATTAATTAGAACTTTTCAAATATACATATTGATAGTTTTTGCTTGCGATTTTGCTTCAAAACATCCGAAAATTAATTAAATAAAAAAACAAGTTAAGAACCTTTTGTTATGATCAGTGGCATACGACTACACTTTCCTTTGGTCATCACTATTATAATATATCTATCTCAATAAAAAAAAAAAACTTGTTTCAAACTTTTTAGCGTGATTTAGCTGTACTCGTGTTTTAGTTTTTTAACTAATGTTTTTATTTCAATTTAGAAGTGTAAGTAGGTTTACCATTAAAACTATATTTGTGTTCATATTTAAATCAAATAGTCTGTGAATGCAGCTGTATTGGCATTTGACGTCAAATTGCACACAGGCCACGAAAACCATCGAAGCTTCGGATGGACATTCCAATTACAAGATTGCCTTAATTGACATATTTAGGTAGTTGACAACAAAATTAATCAAACATTTCAGTAAATTTTAGATAGTTTAATTTTAATTAATATCTTGCGCTACCTTTGGAGTGTCAAAGTGAATAGAACTGCGAGGTTCCATATTGAATACTATTTTCACAGGCCCGTATCGTGTACGTAAACAAATGCTGTGGTATACTATACCCATTACATTGGACCAACCGCGTATTATGCTAGTATATAAAGCGTATAATAACTGGCGGAATGAGCCGATGCAGCTCAGAAGCACACTCGCCGAAATACAATCTGTAGAATACCGGCAGTGAAGCAACTTTTCGGAGTATTGATTCCATGTGTATCTGTGTCGATACCAAGCTTGATGGTACATTCCGGTCATGGTACGGTCTTGTTAAATGTTAAGATGTAGTGGATCAACGAGTTGAGAGTGCGCATAAAAGTGAAGAGAAAAAAAGAAAAAGAAATTACTCTCAATCAATTACGACAATTGTAACTAGCACAATATAAGGTACCGACCTGCAACTTTCCTCAAATATTAATCAATATCCGTTTAATTAAAAAAAAAAATATTTAGATATATGAAAAAATTAAATATCCTTAAATTTCGAGGTAAACTTTTAAGGACTCCGTACAAATAGCGGAATCCTTATTCCTCTAAGGATATCGCACTTCACTTTCTAGCCCATCTCTATGTCTGTCTATCAAGAACATTTATTTCGGGAACACGTTGAGATATAGATTTGAAATTAAAACCAAGATGTATAAATATAAATTAACTATAATTCTGTCTTGAGAAACAAACTTACTGCAGTTCTAAAGAGCTTTCAAAATAAGTTGAAATTGCGCCTACAGTTTTTGTTTTGATGGATTATCTACGGTGAACAGTACTGATAAAGCGAGAAGTTGTATTACCGACCCTCCTGGGGGGACAATATTTTGACGAGATTTACCACGATTCACCCTTTCGAGTTGCAAGCTTATTTACTGTGTAAAATTTGACACTTCTATTGTACTTTATGGGATATTCCGTAATTGCGTTTGGGGCTGGTTTTAAGGTTTTAAGTTGTGAGGGTTGTAGACAAGCTTAAAGCCATCGCATGACAAGTTTAAACTTTTCGTAATCTGCTTAATTCGTTGTTTAAATAAGTTTAAGACTACATAACATAAATTGCCCCGATCCCAAATTAGGTGGCTAAAGCATTTGCATTATACAAATCTGATACAACGTAAGTTATTAGAGAGAAGATTATTTTCTAAACTGACCCGGCAATCGAACCCAGGACCACCAAGATAGTTTTTAAGAGTGTTTTGTATACAAAATTCTATTTCAAGATTTATCTTTAAAGTTTTAGGTAATAGGCTGGCCACAAACTAGTGATTTTGCAACTTTACGTTGATTGTTTTTTCTCAATATTTGCATATAATACTAGTTTAATTGAAGGTGTGTCGTCGAGGAGCTCGATGGGGCAGTGGTTTGTGCGCTCGGTCTGCGATATTATTGTTAAGCAACTTTCATAATGGCTAGTCATAGTCATGGTTGGTCAAAAATTATTATCTCAAACTCCTCCTTGCTTCGGAAGACACGTTAATCCATGGGTACTAGAAATGCGCACTGGGCCTGCTGGTGGGTAATGGCCCATTTTCCCCATTCGATTTCATTCAATTCCATCAATAGGGAAGTCCTGAGCCTCAGCAGTGGGGATGTTAATTGTGATGATGCATGTCAATAATTACACTGCAATCATTAAACTAACTAAAATTTTACGCAACATTACACTACGACCATTGAATTTATCTTTATCTTTTTTACGGTTAACTCAAAGAACTTACTGTTAAATTATAAGATGCGTCACTCTATAATTTCGAATAGAGCTAATAATCCTTATAAAAGAGCTAATAATAAATAATGGCGCGGTGGTAGCGTTCCTACTATTACGCCGAGAGTCGTGGGTTCGATCCCCCAGGACAAACATTTTTGGTGATTAACAATTGTGTATGTTCTGTGTCTGGGTGTTTTCTATTTATATTAAGTATATATTTTTATTCCCTCCATTGTTTCTGATATCCGTAACAAAAGTGCCTAAGCTACTTACCTTGGAATCGGATCAGTGTGTGTGATGCTGTTCGATATTTATTTATTAATATAAATAATGTTTAGACATTTCGAGTCGATGCGAATTTGATTCGCACTCAAGGATACTATTTTCCTTATAAACTCAATGTACAAAGATGTTCTATTAATAATTGGTTGTATTACTTAATAAAATAATATTGCATATTACTACTAAATCTGAAACAGCCCTAAGCTTATAACTTCTAGCCAATTCGCAGTGTGACTGACGTCCCCAAACGAGCGATATTAGCCACCCTTTCCCTGTGCAAATACTTTAAAATGACGCGAGTGGAACGCTGCAGGTGCCGCTGAAGCATACTCGAAATACATTTTGTTAAAACTCTTTTAACGGTTTTGGTTTATTCGATTTGTTTACTTCGAATATTTCTCCATTCATATTGGAATGTTGTCAATGGCTATAGTTAATTCCTATTTTGTAAGTATAGCTTGAAAACTAACTGGCGATTCAAACATGGTGAACGGGTACTAAGGATTGCAGATGCAACGGATACCAATAGCTCAACGTGCTTTCTAAAGCACGGAGCAACTCGAGATAATAAATTTTCGGCCACCCATTCTATGTCTGGATTTGTTAAGTTGTTAACCGCTGCATTATAGACCGAACCCGCTCATAACAGTGCCATCAAGATTCTTTAAATCCTATTAATATTATAGAGGTAAATGTGAAAGTTTCTTTGTTTGGATGTTTGTCCGTCAATCACGCCGAACTACTAAAAAAATTTTGATTAAATTTGGTAAACAGATAGGGTATTAGCTGACTTAGATTATAGAATACTTATTATCCCACTAAACTTTTCCTTAAGGACCACGCGAGCGAAGCCGCTGGCGAAAGCTAGTCTTCTATAAAGGCTTCCTATATTGCATTTTTAGATATTTGAAACAATTGAAGAAAACTAGATACCATTATGAATCATACTTTGCGAAGGGAAAATATTAAGTTTTTATTACATACGCAGTTAACGAATAGTTTTTAAAATTACGTTCATACTTTAGAAGTTCCGTTGATATTGATATGAAGTAAATTATTTACAGATGAAGAAATTATTATAGATCAATTCCCTTTGCACTTACATAAACGTTGATTGTACGTATGTTTTAGGGTGTAAAATAAGCGATCAGCTGATAACACGATGGGTAGCCATTTTGTTGCACGAAATAGATTTAATTTTAACACTGTCTGCTTTTTAAATATGTAACTAAGATAACCGAGGTAAACTTATGGCACCATTGTGCGCCATGGGTGAATCGATTTAAATAATATACAGGGTCTGGTTATTTATATTAAATAATTGAAATATTTTACAATTCATTCTTGTACAATTTGTCAACAGATAAGTGCGATTAACAATGCATCTAAATCAATATTTTTTTAATAATAAAGCATAATATAACTTCCTAAGAAATACCTTGACAGATATCAGTTTTGGTTGCAAAAACTTATGATATTCTGTGGAGCTGACTAGAAATTTCAATATTAACTTAAAAAACGCGTTTACTTTCCTTCTTATACTTAATATATTTTGTATTTATAATCCTTATACTCTCATGTCGAGCTTCTAAAAGGGTTGAATTTCTAAGTATTTTTCTACAAATCAGTGAAAATCGCGTTTAAAAAACTGTCGTACGATTTATTCAAGTATTTATTTCTTTGCAGCGTCTGCCTTTTGATACGTCGGGTTCCAGTAATATTTTTTGTAGATATTATTCCAGAACTTGTAAGATTCAGGGAAAGGATCCTCTTTCATTTGAAGTTCACTATCGATTGAAAGGTAGTAGGGCTGGTGGTTCGAATACATCTTCCATTTGATATTTATTAACGAACTTTCATATATTGTAGGGTCTCTGAAATTAAATTAAGTTTATATTAATTTGGGTCAATTTAGCATTTGACTAAAATCAGGTTATAGAAAACTATGACATTGCTAGAATGGGAGTAAGAAGTCGATCACAGATTTTTGGCATTATTTTTGGTAATTTTATTTGATTTTCTGTTAAAAAATCCGTATGATATATTCAGAATGAAGAATAAAATTAGACAGGTTAGAAGTACACTTTTTAACTTATATACTCGTATTTACAAAATCATCAATTCTTACAATGTGTGCGTCGTTTAGGTGTTAATTTTAGAAGTACTTTATTACAATGAAGTAAATTATAACCTATAATTATTTTAAAAGCTTTTATCTTACTTGCCATGTATATATTGTGTTTGTATTAAGTGAAACAACTTTTAAACGATTTCATCGCGTTCATATTTTTATATATTAACATTTTGAATTCTATCTTTGTTCACATAAGACAAAGGGTGTTGATTGCTTTTTTAATTATGAGAATAACTAACTTCAAAACAATACCGTTGGACACATTCACAATATAATAAATTATTTTAAAACAATATTTACTTATTTAATTACCCCTGGATACCGTAAACAAACTCTGATAAGAAAAATGAATTGCTCCCTTTGATTTTATATTTACAGAATGAACTAACTGTATCTTATGGTTTAGCAATATGTGATCTGGATGGAGATTTTATTTGACTTGATTACTATTATTCTAGGAATAATAGTACGCATATTATTCTAGGAATGAATTTTTTTCTGTCGCAAGAATTTTTGGATTGTCAAATCTTATGTAATGATTGGGTCCTCCTAACGCATGTTCACACACTGCAGATTTACTTTTGCTACTATGCCTAATCACAGCTTCATGTTCTCTAATAATTAATAGTTCTTATCTGTTCAAAAACATTAACAGATAAATTTTTCATAAAATTTCATCGAAACATTAAGAAAGCTTGATTCAGCAATAAAAATGTAATATGATAATCGGCTTTATAATTATTTTGTTTGTTTTAATATTTACTATAATATGTAAACACAAATATTATACTCACTCATATTTAACAAAATCTGTCCACATATAAGTCATGCGGTCTCGCACATCCATGTCTTTTAGGTCACTGGTGAATCCAAAGAAATCCCAAATATATGATACTTGATCTCTATGCGTCACACCTTTGATTGTTTCCATGAAATTATGTGGAGTACTCAACTGTCCAAAGTAAGAGAACTCGTAAACGTAGACGGGTCTTGTTGTGATTGCAGCATGAAGACTAAGTGATTTCAATATTGGATAAATAAACATGGAATCAGAAAAATAATCAACATATTCCTGTTTACTCTCCACGGTTATTGCGTCCCCTTTAAAATAATAACTCTTTACGACTTCAGCTACTTCTTCTTTAGTTTTAACATCTTTGAATATTAAATCTGCGGGCAAAAAGTCAGAGAAGTTTTCATTCATTAACTCTTTCCATTTACCGAAAAGAGCAGATCTACTCAAACCTTCCATGTTTGTGAATCCAGACAAGATAGCCAATTTCTTAATACCCCCCTTTTTCAAAGTTTCCAGTGGCGATTCGGTGATATACGGTTCTGGATTATTTTCACTACTTTCGATACAAGGCGCAAATCCAAAAGTGCTATTGGGCATGAAGAAATTTAAACTTTTAACTGCTAAATCTAGCTCAGAGGCTTTTAAATAGAACTCTGTCAATTCTTTAACGTTTGTTCCATTATAGCCGAGGGACAAAGCTATATTCTTAGCTGTAGTTATTGGGTGTCTGTTGATCGCAAACGGAGCTAATGCTGATCCACTATCCAAAATTAGTTTATCGAATAGTCCGTCCGTGTGTTTTGATATTGCGTGTAATTCTGCCATAGTTGCACCTACACTGTATCCGGCGAGCGTGATTCGTTTGGGATCACCACCAAATTTAGCAATGTTATTTTTGATCCATTTTAATGCAGCCAATTGATCTTTTAGACCAGCATTTCCGGGGATTTCTTCTGTGCCTAAACAAGCAAATCCTAAGGCTCCAACTCTGTAGTTGAAATTGATGGCGACTACGCCTAGCCTTGCTAGATAGTGAAGTCTACCCATATTAGCACTACCTCCGGAGAATGCTCCGCTGTGTATATAAACAATTACTGGCACTAGATTGGTTTCGTTAGCAATAAGAGGTACTAAAATATTTGATACTAGGCAATCTTCTTCTCCATTGAGGATCTTCTCCTCTTCTTCTTCACCAGTATAAAATGTTTGATAGCACATTATTGCCTGCTTGTCGGCTTTTAGAATTTCTTTTCTTGGTGTTACTGGAAGAGGGGGCTGGAATACAAAATCAATATTTTAAGTAAATAATAATTGAAATCTTTACATAAGTAAAGATTTATATTATCTGCCATTAAACTTTAAACGATTAACAATTTGAATGTGTTACGTTTTCTTGCTTTTTAATGGATTGTATTGCGTATCATCAGATAATATTAAACGATCTCTAGAGTTGTAACTATTTGAAATATTGCCAATGTTATCTAAATGATATAATTTTTGAACTGATTCACTTATAAAATGATTATATGAAAATGCTTAAACTAATGGTATTAAAATTCTATTATTTGTATAAAGTAAGCAAATGCATAGAATACATAAGCAAATGTTCTCAAGAACTTTAACATAATTTCCTCATACGAAATTGAATTCCAGACTTTGAAAACAGCGGGTGCCAACGAGTTTTAAACAAAACATTTTTATAGTATTAACAGGATATTTAAACTACCAAACCTTGAATCTGTCTTGTCCTTTTGGCGCGGTCGCGTAAGGCACACCAAAGAATTCATATATGTCCCCATTCCAGTACTTTTCACCGCGGACATAGCCTTCAGGCAATTCCACAATTCTAAATTCTTCTACTGTATCTTCACATAAAATGTTCGTAATAAAAATTAAAATAAATAAATATATAAACATGTCTGTAGTTGTAACTGTACGAAATGTTACTGAATTACTATATCATAATGATTGATTGCTACTGATAATTGTATTGCTTAAGTTTTATTATCTAATAGTACTAATGATAGTGCTGTTCTTATCAGTTAACTCTTTTAATGCGTTTTTTGGATAGCACTGGTATATACATCCAGTTTTGACTATTTATACTAACTTTACCATATGAAGGGTCATAAGGGTATCTCATCAATATTATAAAGGCGAAAGTTTTTAAGTTTGGATATTTGGATGTTTTGCTACTTCTTCATGTAAAAACTACATAACGGGTTTTGAAAAAAAAAAAAACGTATAATTCTAAGCCATGATAACATAAAGGGTTTACAATCACTAAACAGATCCCTAGGGATTATGCAAGCGAAGTTGCTGGCGAAAAGCTAGTTAATAATAAAACAACGGCCTATGCCTGAGCAATGCGATTCTGTAAAATATACAGTGTTACAGCTTCATTAGAAAGGTGGCTTCATCAAAATACTGTGTGCCAGCGGCGTGGTTCTGTATTATACATATAAAACTTTTTCTTGAATCACTCAGTATATTGATGAAAATCGCAGCGCGTCTAGACAGCGAGATGTGGCTTTGTTATAAACTATATGTAAATTGTATCCGTGACCAAGTGACTCGTTAACCTGTTTCGCCGTCTCTGAGGTTCCGGGATCAATTCCGAATCGGGTCAATATTTTTTTATATTGTCTCAGGTACTGGTGTTGTTTCAGATTTATTCAAAACAAATTAACTTTAATTACTCATTTTAGGATCTGGCCAATGTACGATGTTATCTTATATCCATTAATTGTTTATCGCTGGTTAGAATAATAATCCAGTTAGCGAATCGTCATAGGTCTGAAACCCGTTTAATTTGCCATTAAGCGGTGACTTACGTATACAACAATAAAATTAAAACTATTTTTAAACTTAATAACTTCGTAAGAAAAATATCACAGCATTAATTACTCGTATTTTAAAGGCAGTGGTCTATTTCAATACTGAGAACAATAATAACAGCAGAAGAAACTAGTTTCTCTGACCAAATTATCGCTTCATATATTGAAACTAGCAATATAAGCAATATAAACTAAAATACTCCTTAAAAAAAACTACAACTAAAGTAACATAAATCACATAAATCTCTGTATCTACAGCGAACTCGTATGGTTTCGTAAAAAATGCGTATCTAAACTTGATTTGCTACTAACCACATCGGCGAACATTAATCTTCTATTCCCAAACTCTTATATATAAATAAACACCCTAACTTACTTCAGAAACACAGAAATAGCGTGTCATAAACACATCAGCCTGTGAAATACGTAAAATGGGATGTATACAGTGAAGTAATCGCGAAGCCGCGCCCGCGCGAAATATATTATCATATGATATCCTATACGGGCACATTTCTTGTGTCCAGCAAGTTTGTTACATTTACACCAGACGATATTACGCTAAAAAATAGATACTCTGATAACTTAATTCTAATGGTGGGGATACGTGACGCAATAAAAAAACTGCTAAACTTCTTCAGTCTTGATTTATTTGCGAAAAACATACATGGAATCACTTATAACGAAATACTATGATACTCACTCTATGCTGGTATCGATCAGAAAGGGAAGATTGTCAACCAGTAAAACACGAACACGCGAATTCGAATACGAAAAAGTAATAATTTAAAATATTAACGGCCAGCATTGACCATAAACCGTCTGAAGAATAAACCTAATAATAAGTAATGTGCTCGTACGTTACAGTGGTACTGTGTAATGATTGATGTGAGTGTTACATGGCCTTAAGAATTGTTTTATGTACTTGTCATATGAATTCAGAAAAGATAACCTTACATAAAAAAAAAAAACATATTAATGCTACCTTTTGTTTTTTCGATATAAAAATTACTAATCTCAATTTATTATAAAAATTAAATAACTAATCTGATTGCGATAAAATTTATTTGGGACCATCTCGGGTGAATAAGCTGTCAAATAAAAATAATTATCAGTACACAACTAACGAACAAATGGTGAATAAAAATACATAGCCGTCGAACATGGAACCTGCTCCTTCTCGATTTTGAGTCCGTTAAAAACATACTTGTGAGAAATTTAATTGTATTAGCATGAAAATCTTATATTATGACGTAAGTTGTAAGTTTTTCACGTACACATATGACTTGCTTGCGTGCGCTCAGTGATAGTTTAACTTTATGGTATATAACGTTTTTTGTGTGTTCACAGAAAAAAAAAAACACTGAAAAAGTCGTACAAAAACATGTCTAAAGTAAACATCGCTTAATAGTAATTCACGTGCGTAATTGTCAGGTCTGATCGCAAGATGTAAATGCACCCCGCGCGTCTTTATGCGGAAAACGTTCGGTTTAGTAGGTTTCCGTGTAGACCTGTGCATAAAATATAGGTATATTTTCCCGCCTGCACTCGCCCCTCACATTATTTGTGTTGTGGCTGTCTGCCGATGTCTCCTTGAGCGTCCGCCATTTTAAAAGCAAATACACAAAATATACTACTTATCCTGGAAGTTAAATAAATAACTAAAATCCGGTTTCAGGAAACTTGAAATAAGTTTGGAGCTTTTAAGCGTGTCCATATAAGAAATTAGTACCGCTAATCTGTCATAAAAATAGCCCCGAATCCGTCATCGAACGCAGCGCTTACTGAAGGGGTCTGGTATTAATAGGTGCCGATTTAATTCAAGTTTTTTTAAAATGCGTGTGTTCGCTTGAACCAATAGAAACCGGTACAGAAACTTAAAACTAGTGATGTGCGATGATTCGATCATTCATTTCGAACACGAAGAAGTTCAATCAAACAAAACTTGCCTAAAAATAAAAAAGGTTCACTAACCTTAATTCAAATACCTTTGTAGGTATATGAATTCTATTCTAATAGGAATACTAAAGCTATTTCTAGTCAATCGAATAAAATAGTGACTTATAATAAATACCTTCCCAAAAACGTCTCCATTATTTCTTAAATCTTTTGAAACGGACGTAGAATATAGTAGAGAGTAGAGTAGACATTTCGTACCGCAAACCATAAACCAATTTCACAAGGTAGACTGCACTCTAAATGTGGAAAACACAAAAACGCTTTCACCTTACGTTTACAACGGAACAGACAGTTTAAAACAAATAAAAATACTCACCGAATACATTTTGTGCCCGAATAACACAGTGAAATTTTATTTATGTTGCTTATTCTGAGTAATAAGTCAAAAATGTTCAAGTTGCTGGTCATTGAGAGTTTTGCTGACGACAGCTTTGCCACCCTGTTTAGATTTGAAATATTTTATATATTACGTTTTTTATTGAGTGTTACTTGCTTAACTTATTCTACTCCAAGTCTGAAACTTCAAAAAACCAGAGGATCATTTCTGGGTAAATTCATTGCTATATTCAATAAAGTTCCACAAAATGTAATTGACCTACTCATAAATAAACTTAAAATTCATGTAAAAAACATACTTACGAGTAAAGGCTATTATAGAGTTGATGATTATTCTAAGAACCGAATGCATGGAATTAATGGCCTTCGCTTTGTTCTATAATGACTAATTATATGAACCAACCTATTCCTACAGACTTTGAAAGTTGTATTTACTATTGTTATAATATGTACTATTTTGGAAATGACATGATTTATTTAAATGTTTTTACTTATTACATTTACACTTATTATTTTGGATGATTCAAAAGTGCTTGAAACGAGCTTATTTGAATAAAGATATTTTCATTTTATTTCATTTCACAGTCTATGCATAACTGATGGACTGCCTATAATAATAAACCCACTTATGTAGTTTATATTTTTTATGTAAAACTAAGACTTTTTGGAGATTGCCAAACTAAATGAACCGATGGTGTATTACCATAGATATTTTAGGTTGCAGTGACTACATACAGATTCATATGATTTATAATATGGTATTAGAATCTGCTACAGTTATTTGCTTATCTATAAAATTTTAACAATAGCATTGCATTTCGCAACACGCAGTCATGTTCAATTATTATTAAAAAAAAAAAATACCACGCTCTGTTTTAATATTAGAACGTATCCCTCCAAGGGACCGTTTGATAAATGGCAAAAATTAATTCGAAATAGGTTCGCAGTTACCGAAAAGTACCGGATATAATTAAAAAATATCTCCTACTGTTTGCCAGTGCTTCGGTTGGTGCGATTCTAATTGGTCGAAACTGTAATTTCCCGAAGGGATGGCTTGACTTAAGTCTCGTGCTTATGAGGAAATTAAGCTTATTATTTTTCACCTATGTAAATATGTCAAAGCGAATTTTTTTTTATTTTAGCGATTAAAGAAGGCTTGAATTTTTTGTTTTTATATTTCTTCTTAATGATCTTAGCTAAGCAGTTGATACCTATATTATAAGATTACTCTAAAATACTGGGTGATCCACCTTATTATATTTAAAATGAAGAGATCATTATTTACTTTATTTTTTTAATTTATTTAATACCTTTGTCTTAACAGTGCACAAAAATTAGTATGCCGCCATTTTGGATAGTCCGCCATATTATATTCAAAATTATATACTTAGCAAACCATGAATTTCATATAGCTATAAATTTAAATTATATTATTATATTTTTTGCTAAATGAATTATGTAGATTTCATTTATTCCGTTACAATTATTTACTATTTTAATTGTGCTGACATCGTGAATCTGTAGGCATATTATAATTAATTCAGCACATTTTGTAAACACCCTCCACCCTTTATTGATTCTTAGGTGATCTTTTGACTTCGCGAGTAGATATCTTTAGTTATAGTAGTGTTTTATTATATTTTTAAAACAGTGCAGTCCTATTACCCATTTTAGTAAGATGACTCTTACCATATTTTTTCTATATTTAGAGTACAAATTCCTCGACATTTTCATGTTGCTTCAAAAATATATTAATCGATTTCTCAAAATGAAGTTTAATCAGTTTGGATACTTTTCATTTTACACGCGTACTTATGGGCGTCCACCTGGACAACAAATTTATTGGACACCATTAAGAAAACTATAAATTTGGGTAGTTGTTTGTTATAGATGTTTATTATTCTGCTCAACCTAATCAATACAAAATATCACATTAAGAAAACCATAAACACTTATCTCTAGTAAATTAACTTAAATAAATAAGTAACCTAATCACCTATGAATTGGACCTCACTCTCCAATCTCAATGAAATAATTATCTAACCCGTTGAGTTATTCCTTAATGAGGCTAACTGATGGGGTTTGCCTGTGGGTGTGATAAGGTTCTTTGTTATCAATTTCTTTTCTCCGAAGAGAACGATTACTTATAAATGAAGCGGATATTTATTTATCTTTTGGGAATTTTATGATTATTGTTTTGTACGAAATTCGCCTTTGGGAAGCAGTCGTATTTGTAAATTTCGATAATTTATAAGCGGCTGATTTGTCAGAATGTGACGTTACTTTGTATAAAGGTAGCAATTGTCTGGTTAGAGAAATGTTGAAATTCAAATTCAGCTTTGAGCACTTTTTACAAGCTTCAAATCTATCAACTGAATTTAAAACAGTAATCTTTACTTGATTACGCTGAAATTTTGTATACAGAGTAAGTTTAGATGACAATGCATGGTTTGCTATGATACATCATTTTAAATCTAATATGGTGGACGACTGGTGATGGTAGCATAGTTATTTTTATGTCCACTGCTTTGGACTACTGAAGATGACAGACTACCTATATGCGAATATGGTTATAAATGAAATAGTTTTCTGAGAATATTGCAATAAAGCAATCTATTTTATTTTCTATTTGTCGGATTTCATTTTTGTATTGTTTTTTGAGCATTTTCTTAATGTGAGTATTAAATGAAAAGATTTTCTGAGAAGATTAAGATAACATAAATAAACTTATAAAAGTCCAAGTAACAAAACAAAATAAAAACGAGCTTTTGTAAATGCGCTTAAATGTTAAAAAAAAAACTAATTAAGAGATGTGAATGTAAAACTTATCTAAAATTAAAAACATTTCTTTCATTACAAATTTTTCTCTCGTTCGTCACTCTCTTTTACTATAAAACGGGGTTGTAGAAGAATATAGGTTTTTTAGACTTTTATTCTTTCGATTTGAATGTAACCTTCTTTATAGGTACCCAAACGTAGACTATATGTATAAGCCACAAAACCACTGTCCCGCTACTGGAGTTTGCCTGGTCAGACCGGCGGCGTGGCCGTCTCGACCCTTGCTTATAGAAAATGCTTTTTATTATAAGAATAACTAACAACGCTCAAAGTACATAGAATAGAGAAGCATATTTTTTATAACGTACATTATCTAGAAGGGTAGAAGAAAAGACATATAGATATCTTTTATGAATAATGCTTCAAATTTCTCCCAGCTCCGGCTATCCTGCGATGAAACTCAAGCCCACAACCTTTCCCTATGTAACAGATAAATATTTATTATGATAGACTTTATAGGCATATAAGCTGTCTAATGAAAGAAGAATTTTGAAAATAGGTTATGAATCCTTATCCTTGTCTGATACTCATAGATTTTAATTGTGTTTTTATAAGTTCAGTCTTCTTTATTAATCGTCTCTTTGATTGGTCTACTTTGTTGTCTAATATAAAAATTAGGCAAAATCCAACAGCTCATATATTGCTCAGAATCCAAGAGGAGTAGCTTAAGCCCTCGTGTCATGGAGTATCTGAGACAAAGAAGGCATCATAACACCCAAAGCTCAGATAATATAGCAAGCATTTTGATATTGTATGTTTGTATTTGTGATATTAATTAATAAAAAAAAAATGAAATCTTTGTCCAGATAATTTCACTTTTACCATATCCCGCTGTTTTTTATTTTATGGTATGATCTCGCAGTGATGAGTCTAATTAAATTTGGTTCTATCCATTTGAGTGCACACCTGGTAGACGTCCTTTTATCCAGAGAAATCTTTTTATGTTTTGTCGCAGGCTCTAGCTTTTTAAATCCCATTACCAAGCTCATCCTGTTTCTTAATAAGAGTTTTCTAGGAAGACTTATTTAATTCTTTGTTAGAATTAAAATATGCGTAATCTACTTAATTTGTACCGTATAAAAATCTTCTTGGTTAATATTCTTGTCAATATTTCATGCTGTGATTGTAAGTTTCTTTTAACATTATTGTTAAAACCAATTTATTAATTAAGTAAAATAAAGAGCTTTAGGTAACAAATACATCTATAGCATATACTATAGCATATATAGGTAGTATTGGTTCCTAATTAATGCGAGTCTTAAAATTATATTTGAATAATTTACGAATAGGTTTTATTAATGCTACACTAATGGTGAAAAATATGACTCTACAGACCAAATCGAGTATGGGACAAGATCATAGGATCGAAGTAGATATAGACTAAAATTACTACAAAAAATATAATATATATTTTTTAATTTTTTATGTTGTATGAATATTATAATAGTATGTATAATTTATAAATATATATTCGGGAATATCCTTAGCTTAGATACTTATATGTAGACTTTAAATGGATTACAGAGGGCCAATAAACAGTTTCTACGGTTAGTAATAATAAAGTAAAAAAAAAAATACAATAATAGTAAAGTGAAATATTTTTAATACAAATGCCAATAAAAAATACAATCAAAAATAAAAAAAAATACAATAAAAAATACAATAATTTTTAAGTGAAATAACATATTTTTAATACAAATGCTAATGCGTGTTCACAAAGATTACACTAAAATATATCGAAGTCTTTTGAATTACATCATTCATTTAAAGTTCTACTTGATCAACACAAAAATGCATTCTATCCGTAGTTAGCAACAACTGGTAAATTAATTGGAGTGTAGTCTCTAATTCATTTTGACGAAACAGTAAAAATAATTTTAGAAAAAAGTTCACGGAAGTCAATTTTATTTCAATTTATTTCATGTAAGCATACCACATCTGAAATTTCACGTCGCTTATACGAGTAGATGGAATTGTTTGCAGAATATCAAATATTCTTTGGAGGTATATGTAAGGTAATTTTAAAGGATAACACAAACATTTTACAAATTTCAATTGTAGCTGTTCTATACCGTCGATATATTTGTCGTAGCATGAATCCCAGATCTCTGATCCGTATTCCAAGATACTTCTTACAAATGCACAAGACAATATATTAATAATTTGATATTTTTGAAATTATCTGAATAATTCTGAATTGATTTTGATATGGAGTCATTTGCGTTGGGGTATATATTTTTCATTTGTGTTAGTTGACTTTTGAATTAGTATTATCTAAGGAAAGATCCGAAATTTGTATATAGACATGTCATTCATAATAAAAAATATATTAAAAATTAACATTTCTTAGGACATTTTGATGGTTCAACACACTTCCCAGTGGCAGTATCCCTGATCGTGGGTGTATTACAGAAACATTGAGGGATGTCGCAAGCTCCGGGCACGTCCAAGTCGTGTACCGTAGGGTTGTCACAAGATGGTTCTGCTTGTTGTGGACAGTACAATACAGAGTGCTCGCCCGCGGGACATTTCCCTGAAAAAAAAATTGTTGTCATATGTATCTCGCTAAATAATATGGCATTATCAAAATTATGATTACTCTATAATTATCTCTATTTAATACGCTAGAATTTCTTTAAATATTTTTTTATTATACTCAATATATATTATGCATATATTATTTTATGAAAATAATTTTGTCACAATTTCATTTAGTTATGAGATATTCTGAATAAAAAAACTAAAATAATAAACTTTATTTTAGCTGTATTAGGGAGTAGATTTCACTTGCTTTTGAGGGAAAGGTTTCAAAAATTAATATTTTAAAGTGGATTTCCGCCAGCGGCTTCGCCCACGTGCTCCTTAAGGAACTATTTATTTCGATATCGATTCATATGATGATTCCCTATACAGACTTCCACTCCCATTTTTATCCCTTTGTTTGTTGATGTAACTTTCCGTAGATGGAGGGATTTTTAAAATCTATTCAGTAGTTCCGAAGCCAATTCATTGAAAACAAACAAACAATAATATCTTTCCTATTTATAATATTAGTGTGGATTCAGTCTAGCGAATTTGATTTTAAGTTTACTTATTTAAATTTTATGCTTCATTATCAATTAATCAATATGTAGTTGTTAGCTATTCCCAATAATGAGATAAAAAATTGCAACTATACTATTACGCACTTAATGTATAAATAAGTAGTCTGTAGCAAAGCTTTTAATAAATAAGGTTTAGCGTTAGAGTAAATTTAGGCTAAAATTGCAATTTTAGTATTAGTTGGCTAATAAAATATAATAATTCATATTATTCAGAGAATAATAAACCTATTACATTCTAGGAGTAAATATAATCCCGTAGAACCTCGTACTAGGTTAACCTTTGCTAAGTCTCTATTTAATAATATGAGTACTCTAATACCACCTTGCTATATTGTATCATTATATTAAAAACGTAAGAGATTGCTGTTCAGAAATGAAGTCATCTTTTGCTTCAACCAATCCCCCAGTTGCACAAACGTCCGTTTAGGTTTAAACCTAAATGGACGTTTGACAACTTAAATTTAAACTAATAACAATTTTAATGGACGATTGTGCAACTGGTATATCTTTTTAGTTATATTCCCATAAACTGTGATTCCTTGACTGCAATAAACTGTTGAATTGTTATTATTGTTCATATCATCAAAATTCACGCTTACACCTTTAGGTCTAGTTGAATGTTTTAATCACAATTTTAAAGTTTTAAAACTTTAAACAAAGAATTTCAATTTATAATTAAAAAGTGTAAACAAAGACATCTTATCTTTGAGCGCTGGACGAAATGGAGGAGTGTTTTACATTGTTTAAGATGGGAACAATGTAAAAAAAACATCACTTTTGTTTTAACTAACTTCATTCAGGAATTCTAACGTGCGAATTTAGAAATTCCATCAAAAAGCAATCTAAGTCCGTCTATACACTTCGTACGTTTATAAGTTAAATACTCAAAACAGGAAATATATAGATATCAACAATGCCTAAAGTACCTATTTATATATTTAGGAATATATCTAGAAAATAATATAATACATTATAGGTAAAGTATTGCAAACAAAAAACCATCTGTAGGTTCAATAACAGGTTTAAAAGTAAATTGTTTGTTTAAACAGATGTATTTAATATTATGCAGCAAAATTTTCCTTAACTGTATTTAGTTAACATATTGATTATTGGATTATTGAATATTGTATATACATATATTGTAGCTCAGTGACGTAATGGATAAACGCCGTGGCACGCAATCATTGTTATTAAGCAACTTTCGCATGGGTCGGTCACGAGATGGGTGACCAAAAAATTTTTACCACCACGTTAAGGCTTTGGTCCCGGCTGCATTAGCAGTAGTTAATACGCTCCAGTCCGCATTGGGCTAGCTTCAAGGATAATGGTCATTAACCATCCATAAAGAAGGTCCGAGCCCCTGTAGTGGGTATGTAAAAGTGCAGATGATGTATATTGTTATAATAAATCAGTAAATCATTAGAAAAAGACACAAACTCGAAGTGAAAGAAGTAGGTAGTTACCTAATCTTTATGTTAACTAACCTAAATTTAAATCTTTAAATTTTGTGATAATACCTAAACTATAGGAAATTAAAAAAAAACAACACAATGACTAATATATAAAAAAGAGTATAAGAAAAATAGCACTTTTATGCAAAATAAATATGATAAATTAGTACCTTCTTGCATTAAAATCGGAAACTATTTGAAAAATAGCTTGTTTAACCCTACCTTATTCTACTAGACTCCTAATAAGTTTTTTTTTAATTATAATTATATTAAAACCATCTGTTTTCCGCGAATCCCATGATGTGCCGCATGTGATAAAATTTTTAATCCTGGAGTGTAGTTATTGCAAACAAACAAATAATAAAATTTATCTTTTTCATAATATTAGTAAAGTTATAAACAAGAACTCACTGGTAGGTATTCCTTGAGCGCTCACAAACACAACGAGCGCAGCTAACATAATTATCACGCGAGCGCACATTTTTAAATTTTAAATAAAATATAAACTTCTTTAACGTAGCAGAAGCTGTGACAATACTATCGAGAGTGTGTTGAGAATTATGCTAAAACCTTCTTTATATAGTCGATGTATTCTTGTGACGTCACCGCACAGGGGAATAACTTGAAAGAAAAAAAAACATTTTCCTATTCAATACTCATTAGGAGGAAGTTTGTCAATATACGAGTCATATTGTTATAGAAATGTTAGCGAAACGAGATGTTTTGATGTCATTTCTTTTTGGGATTCGTTCCGTAATTAAAAGGAGTCAGCGGGATCATAATAAAAAAAAAAATGTGCGAATTATTAACCCTACTGTGTGTCTGTCGTTGTCTGTATGTCAGTTAAAGGTTTTGAACCGTAATAATATAGCTGTAAAGGCTATATTATGTTATAAATTTTTAAATAATATAGCTGTTATCATGACGTATATGAAAATGCCATTAAAGTAATGGTTAACATGCATTTAATTTTTGATTAACTTCAAAAGGCTATTATTTTGACTAATACATTTATAGGTATTGGCGTTTCGCGATATTATATATTTTATAGTGGACAGATTTAGATGTCTTTTTTTTATTTGAAAGGGGTTCTGGTATATTCTGGAGAAGATATCATAAAAATTGCATGGTTGGATGATTATTACTTACTTGTTCTTGTAAAATTGGACCATTATAAGGTTGGTTTGCACTACTTATGGTACTTAAATACTTAAAATATAAAATTTACAAATCTCCGTATTACTTAATTTCACGTGAAAAAAGTTACAGTTAATTTTAATGAGCAGTTTTCAATTAGATATTTAGGGTTACACGATTTAATATAACAAAAATTAATTACCCTATCATCTAATAGTTACTGCAAAGTAATAATAGACATAAGAAAGTTCAATTTTAAAACTGCAAAGATAGAAACGGATTTAACTTTTCATTCAAAAGCTTTCGTCGTTGTGCTGAAAACTTTTTTTTCTCTACAAAACGTTCCATTTCAGGGAGAGTTAGGACAAAAGGTGATATTAGCTTTATGACGTCTCGTAAACATTGAATTGTAAAGAGCAAGATAAAAGTCAAATTCTTTTTTGTGTTGCGCCCTCCTTTTGGGGCCGTCTTTTTTACTGCCACAAAAATTGCCTGTGTAATTGAAACAACTACTAGTGTCCCCTTTTGCTCTCAAAAAGGTCTTAATCTAGATATGTCTTTAATACTTTTATCTGTGAATGTGTTTTTATTCCTTCTTATTTCACGGATAACCATATTATAGTAAGCGGTAAATAAAGTTAACAAATATGCTATCTTATTCAACTATTTTTTACTGAAAACTTTGATACTGAACAATAATTTATTTTAGGTACGTAATTTTAGGATTACAAAATTCAAAAACCCAAAAGGTAAGACGAGACCCTATTACTAAGATTCCTGTGTCTGTTCTTCTGACATGAGATTGTTTCTCATGAACCGTGATATAAAGGAATAAATATATAAAAAAATGTATTTCAATTGCCGCTACAACAACAAATACAAAAAAATAGAATTAAATAAATATTTAAAGGGGCTTCGTGTTTTATCAAACGTGTTTTTGCTCCTTTCAATTCATTCGCGAGTCCGACTTGCCCATAACCGGTATTTCAATATAAAGATTAGTTGTTTTTTAATCATTACATTAAAGCAAAACATGTAATAACTCACAAATATCAAGATTTTGTAACTCGAAATTTTCGCTCGTCAGTTCATTCCGAAATTAAATTATTGTTTTTGTTTCTTAAATATTACGCAGGGTTTAACCATACGTTCATCTTGTTCCTAATCATTAATGACTGGTCTAATAGTATTAATTACAGCCGGAGTGGTGACCGTTATTAAATTCAATAAGCCCAGCGGACCGGATGCCAATTACACAACTTCAGCTAGTTTCGAACAACTCGCGCTTTCAGTTGATCACTGTATTCGCGGTGAGGTTGTGATATTCAACACTGATTTGATATTGCGTCCATCAAAAGGTATAATCAAATGAAACCTTAAGAATTCGGTGTTATATAACTTAACCTATAAGCTATGAAAACTTTGTGCTCGAAGTTGCCCGCATAAAAACTTTAGGGTTGTACCAGTAAAAATAACTCTTTTTAAGAAAGAAGTTTTTATTTGAACAGAGTTTTAATTCGAATAATTGAAACTTGTTCTTATTTTGAAGTTAAATAAACACATGTTATGTAAGGCAAAGATGAAATTGTAAGTATTTTCATTTTCTGTGTTCATTCATTAGAAGCAAAATTTTTTTTTCACCTTTATAGATAATGGAATTGGCGAACTTTGTTCCGCCCAGTCAATGAATGAGTAGATTTAGGATTTTTTTTATAACAAATGAACGTGAGTCGTCATAACACATAACTATTTGCACTGATCTTTTGTCGTTTTTATTATTATCATTATTTTTATTGATAAAATATCAAACTTTAATACTTACTACCCTATTTCCAATGAAGACAAATACAAAAATCATAAAAATTGATTCAGCCGCCCTCCAGTTATAAATGGTGCAACTAACATAATTTTCTTTTCTATATATGGATGTATTTAGTAAAAAGAAAATAAAGGCGTAGCATAATTTAAGATTGCAGTGACTACTTCCCACAGTCAGAAATAAAACCTACAGCAAGAAATATATACTTAAATAAATACAATTAAATAAATATATATATATAAAACTACTTCCTGTCCTATCCGTCTTCTTTCAATTTTAGGACAATAATTTTTTCTCTCTTCTCAATTACATTTTTCATACCTCCACGTAATATGGTATCACATATGAATCGATAATAATGTAATACAATGGAATTGCGTATACATAAACACCTATACAAAGCCTTTCAATAGCGACCAATGCTATTTATCTACTGTAGGCGCCCCTTCAAAGTAAAGGGACTACACGTCTTTTAACACGTATATCTCGTCCCTTATTATGCCATAATTGGAACTACCACTTCAACATCAAAGGTACACTGAAATCAGATACAATAACTGGAACACGACCCGGATACAATGTGCAGTGGATTGATTTTATTAACTTCTTACAATATTATCATAATAACAAAATCGTATGTAAAATTTTGGAAGCCTTAATCTTTTACCATATGAAAATGAGGACTAAGATTAGCACTTGGTTTAAGCAATTGACCGTCAAAAGACAATTTTAAGATAGAAGAAAAAAACTTGAAATTTAGATGTCCTGACTTTAATCGGTCGAATAATATAAACCTCGTGTTAAAGTAGTTAGTATTATAATAAGACCGCAAAAGTCTAGGCTAGACGAAAAGGTTTGATTATGTTTAAATATATATTTACGTCTAAAAATGACATTGAAATTGAATGCACAGAAATTTTTTATCGAAGTTTAGTGTAAAAGAAGGGAATAGTCCATACTTAAATGGAACAAAAATGATGTAAATTATCTTGTGATGGGTGGGCATTTACATTAATGGAGATGATGATTTGAAGTTATTACCAAAGCATAAACTATATGAACATTCGCGTACCCTAAAAGATCTAGATATTATTAAGGCGTTAAAAAACAGAGGAAGAACAAAGATAGAAAAAAAAAAACAATATCTATAACGGGTCTATGCCGTACCTAATTACTTTAATATGAATTCCAGCTTCATTATCAATACCAGGCACACGGTCTTACACGGTGGTGCCAACATTAATTGAGCTAATAAGTTATTCAATTAGAATTCAATAAGTCGGATATAGTTCAATAGGTAATGTAGGCAAGCTGGTCTGACCTGAAACTTATGATCATAGCGTGGAAAATGACAAGTCGTGGTGCAATTCGAAGATAGTAGTTTAACCAGAAAAATATTCTTTTTTAAATGGGTCATAAGAAAGGAGAAACTCCACCACATTTTTTTTTATTACGGAGTCGTGAAACCGGTTAGTGTTGGACCGTCTATTTATTAATGTATCGAAATATAATACAGTAACGGTAGGTATCACTAGGGACATCGAAAGGCCAACGGGCGAAACTTGAACGAGCTTCGCAGGTGCCACCTCTTGGTCAAAATTATCATAGTGTGTAATCTGGCGAGCTCATATAATGAAGTTACGAGTTAATTAAATTAATGAACTATAGACCCAACTTTATTGGTGGCTCACTTCTGTTGGCTATTTGGTTTTTGCAGTTTCAAATTATTTCAATTTAAAAACCTCTAAACTTTTGTTTTTATCCACAAATTTTAATATAATTACCCATTTATAAAAAATGAGAAAGCTGAATCATAAGCTCAAGGAACTAATTAGGGCAAAACATAGATTTCTAAAAATTACTCAATAGTATAAATATTGTGAAGTTTCCTATAAAATCACCACATCATTATGGGAAAATGACTAAATATGATACTTGGTAACCGAAAGGTTAGCAATGAAAAATTCTGCATCAATCGAAATTATTTGATTTGTCTTGAACTAGATTTCTTTATTAAAGTTTCTTTATTAAAGTTTATTAAAGCTTTTGGAGTAGGTTATTTGAATGAATCTTTATACTGTGACAGCACTGTACTCGACGTCTGATTTAACACTGATTTTATTACGGAATAGAACTTCAGATAGACAGCTATTTAAGAATATGAGTCCGTTGTAAATAAAACAAAAGTCGTAACGAGCAGTACATAAAGAAAAGATAAGAAAGACTCCGGTAACATCGAGATCAAATAACATCTAAAAATAGAACTAGAAAGATGAATTATTAATAATACTAAACTGACAGGCTGCCATTACTTTGCCAATACTATACTATAATATAACTTAATAAACCCCAAGGTATTCGACATCATACAGCCGAGAACTAAATAACTGACAATCGCTGGGGAATCCCCTTTGAGTTATCTTATGACAACTCAAAGACCAGTACCGTTCCATTAGTATTAAGTTATTAAAAAGAAACGGTTCCTTTCGTTCAAGAGAAATAGGCATTGTTAACGAGAAATTGAGTATGGACAGTAGTTTTATGTAAAGAAAAGACAAATTAAGCAAAACAAAAAAAAAATAAAACACTTTGCCATCAACAATTCACTCAATATTA